GCATAGTTCGTTTTAGAGTTTCTAGATAAAAAGGCGAGAAAGAAATGTTAGGTTGAGCTTCAGGCGTCTCAGCCGGAGTGATTCTAAGTCTGGTTTTTTGCATCTTGCTTCGTATGCAAGTCCTTCGTTATGTGTTGGTAGGCGCCGGGTAAGGTTTCGTTGAATGTTCTCTACTCGAATTCTGTCCGATACTTTCATGTTACCATAGATAACCGTGCAATACTCTAATATTGAGCGAACCATAACCTTGTACAGTATAAGTTTTGCCTCAGGTGTGAGTATGTTTCTGTGCAGGAGACCAACGAGTCTTCTGCCTTTGGAAACCGTTGAATCTGCATATTCCGTAAAGGTCAAACTTCTGGAGTAAGTGATTCCGAGGTCTTTCACAGTGTCGTATACCTGCAGTGCGATGTTACCCGAGTGTAGTGTTACTTCTGGGTGGGATTTATTGAAATGGAGGATGCCACTTTTATTTGGGTTTAGAGGGAGCTGCCAGGTCACGCTGCATGTGGATATTCTCTTCAGATCTTCTTGTATTTGAGAGAAACCTTGTGCTAGTGCTGCAGGAGAAACGCTGTGAACTATCTTCAAGTCGTCTGCCAAAAGGTAGGGTATGTTATTTCAGATAACACTGCAGATATCGTTTACATAGATCAGGAAAGGTATCGGTCCTGGAATGCTACCTGCACACTACTGCCGTCGCGCCGACTAGACATCAAAGGCTTCAGCGTGATAAGTATGGGGCCAGAAAAGCCGTGGGTGACCAGAGAGGCAGAGGGGAAGTCCTCACTTAGTGATACGCACAAAGCTGCAACCGTGGCGGCGCATGGACTACTGGAACCGGAGGTGGATCCACAAAATGGGGTCATTACCCCACGACTTCGAGCAGGGGAGGTTTCCAGAGACGAAAATACAACTAAAAAATTACGCGCTATCAGCGCAAGTAGATTACTGTGACCTATGCACCCGCAAAGCACTTCTTCATCATGATTGCTAGCTGTACGCTTTGACTTCAAGCCATTATTCACGGAAGCTCTCACAACATGCTACCTTGTAAAAGACCAGATAGGAGGTGCTATACCATGCTGCAAAATAAACCACGGCCCACTAGACTGAAAGACAGAGTGCAACCACCACGAAAGCTACAGACAACGCTAGTCGCAGAAAAACTATTTGGTGAACTAATGCCCGTAAACATACCGACGAGCACCACCGTGACACCAACGCCAGAATGCCAAGAGGGATCAAGAAAGGGGGCTGGTAGCCAGAATCCGATGCAACCACACACTGGCCTCCACACAAGTTCTCGTGTCGCACCAAGGCCAGAACGCAGCTTCTTCAAATGTTTCTACAGCAACGTAATAGATCTTAGGAGTAAACTGCTGCAGTTAAAAACAGTATACCATAACCTGCAAGCAGATGTGGTTCTCATCACAGAGACTCGGCTCTCATCAGAATTCGTGGATGAGGAAATGTCTTCACTAAATATGATCTTGTTCGGGAAGGACAGGCAGTTCGTAGAAAGCGGAGGAGTTGCTATGTACATTAGCGCTCACCTACGAGTAAAGGAGGAGACTGATGATACGTTTAGCCTACTATCAAACTCCTTATGGTGCTACTTCCCGCATTAAACCAAATTAAGTGCTTATTACGAGTGTTATATAGGCCCCCCCTTTGCACAACAGAGCATAAGGCACAATTTGCTCAGCATCATTTCAACAACCACCTCGGTAGTCTATGGCTTGTAGTCCTCACCGGAGACTGTAACACACCGACACTCAACCCGGGATGTGGAGTTACATGTGAGCATAAATCTTTCGAACACAAACTTTGAGACACATTTATGGCAGCTGGATTAATAGAGAAAGTTGGGGAAAACGTCAAATGGGGATGAGATGGAAAAGGATCACCGCTTGGCTATTTTCTAACAGACGATGATCTGTTGGTGGACGGCATGTGTCCGACACCCCCCCCTTGGTGAAAGCGACGCGCCCCGGTGAGGGCCTCTCTGATAACCAAGGAGGAACTACCAAAAGTCCAGCCAGAAGCCCCTAGCTGTTACCAAAAAGCAGACTACCATCTCATGAATAATGAACTACTGGAGGATACACGGCCACAAGAATGGCACTCACTATCGATAGACGAGCACCGGACATATATTAAAGATATTATTTACAGCGCCGTCGAAAAAAAGTGTCCCGAAATTAACCAGACGGCCACCCTCCAGAGGGTCTTGGGCAGTATGCGCAACGCAAAGGCAAGTATAGAGGAAAGAGAAGGCACGGCATCCTTTGCACATATTACACGAGGAATCAGAGTGTCTTAGTTACAAGAAGTTATGCAATCTGTGTATGATAAGTATCCGCAATGACAAACACAAATACCAGCGTGACCTGGCCAGACATTTGAGTCACGGACCGGTTGATGTCACGGTGAAAACCGGTTAATAACTGTTTAAGCCTGACCACAGGACCCACGGAGAACCTTCGAACAGCAGCAGGATGACCGAACTGTTGAGAAGTCAATTTGACGTCCAATTATGTGACGAAGTTCCAGGGCTGCGATACAGAGCCGATGGACGTAATGATTTCGTCAAACCGAATGTTCGCAAAGCTTTCAACACTGAGGCTAGAGAAACCCCGGGCTGTTGCAGTATAGGGTGGGTGGCTTTACGGACATGCGCCGAAGTGCTAAGCATACCCATATGTAGTCCATCCAAGCGCTCTTTGGAAGAAAGCAAACTCCTCAAAGGATGGAAGGGTCGGTCTTCATGGTAGGAAACCAAAAATCCTCTGCAGTTACAGACAAAAAGTGTTACTTCCCACACTATCCAAGGTGCTGGAAAGTCCGGTTGCAGATGTTTCCTGGGCCTACCTAAATGGAAACAGCACCGTTCATCCTACCGAATCTGGCTTCGGAACCGAACGGTAGTGTGCCACCAACCTGACGACCGCTTGGGACGACTGAACCACTGGATGGGACAGCAGGTAGTCAGACCAAGTTATCTTTCTGGACCCGGTCAAAGCTCTGGATGGTGTCTAAAACTACACCGTGCCCGCCAAACGTGCAGAAGTGAGCATCAAAGAACCACTCATGGCGTGCTTTACAGCATATTTACAAGACAGCTCGGGGCGCCAGCCCCCAATTTTTCCTGAAGGCATTTGAAACCTGCGTCAGACCAAGCCTAGGGATGTTCAGCGCGGTACCCACCCTCTCCACTAAAGAGAGACACAAAACTCTCGAGAAGGCACAAACAAGGGCAACAGGGTTGACTGTCCGGCTAGCAGGCAAAATTTATGAGCAAAGCCCAAGGCACCTCGACTTGCTCACATTGAGCTACTGAAGAAACAGAGGTGACCTAATAACAGCCTACAGGATCACTCACCAAGTGGCCCACACAAATAGCTCAACATTATCGGCCTAAAACCGACAGTCATAGGAGAACGTTGCTGGCATGCCCCACCACAAAGCAAGGAAGAGAGTTAGATCAGATCCGTTCTTACACAAAGTACGTGCTTTTTGGAACCCCACACCGAAGGAGGTAGCTACAGCTACATCGGACGACTCTTTCGAACAACTACTGGGTAAGTTTGTGAGTGCAAACGGCCTAGCAAGAGCAGTCGCCGGTAGTAACTGAAGGTATGCTCACCCCCGCCAGTATTCCCCGGCCCTAATATCTGCAATAATACGAGTCCACTCTCTATATTGTTACCGGTGGCGCTTATTTTTTTCTGAAGTACTTTTCACTCTTCTTTTTCTCTTTCCCCACCCTCCCCATTTCTAGCACTTTTTAAGCAACGCTTAATGCTTTCTCGCATGTGCCCACAAAAACTGGAATTGCACAAAGTCAATTGATCCTGTCATCAGCTCCGTCGCTCCTCCAAACAAACCAGGCCATGATTCGCAAATAAAATACCTACAAGTAGATAAACGCTGCCTACAAAGCTACAAGCAGAAAAATGCAACGACTTCTGTGACAATCGAAGGAGTATAGCTGAACAAAAAGGACCGAGCCTCAAAACCAAGAAGCGAGAGCCCAAAAACTGCAGGTTCCCTCTACTCGCACTATGGATGTTGGATACTGGAAGTCAAAAAGTCAAGGACATGTGACAGAAAACCTAGAAAGAGGATTGATTCCCAAGTAAGAAGCTTACTGCACTCAGTTCCTATACCGGTACTATTGGCTCCGGATTCATACTAGCTGAAAAACTAAATATTCCCCTCATCTCGCAAAAAGTTCATTTGTGATGTTCCCGCACCTGAAGGGCATAGCCATTCTAGAACGGGTTCAGAGAAGAGCTACTAACAAAGCGATTTGGTTACAGTACAAACCCTACCTGGATCGCTTGACTGCTCTTAAGGTACATTCAGTATAACAATAATAATATATATATTTCATACAACATAGGTTACATGAATACAAACCAGTTTGCAGGTTTGATCATACAGGGGGGGGGGGGGGAGGGAAGGGGCGGTCAGAGGGATATGATCATGATGTACCGCATTAACCATAATCCCCGTCATTCTTACCAATTTCTCTTGAGCCTCAACCAGAAACGCGACCTTATGGGTCATAATTTAAGAGTAGACCATGAAAGAGTACTTGAAAAGATCCACGCTGGCTCGTCTGGAGTTAAGGGACGGTACTCTGGGGGACTCCCTGCAGAATTTATTGCAGCTCCATCCCCTGAGACCTTCTAAAGGAAGTTAGATACACATCTAGAGTCTTGTGGTACCTATGGGCTGTATTCGAGAAGCTCTCCGTCGTCTACAGATCAGGAGGAGTGGCACTTTGGTGAGACCAGATCAATTATAAATCGATTACCTCCGTCATCTTAGGTTTTCTGGAACAAGGGAGACAGCTGTAACTATTCCAAACCTAGAAAATACTCCAGTAGGACATACGTGGAACTCAATGAACTATCATTCCGAAGTATGAAGTTTGAAATAAGCGGGTAACGTGTCCTTCGAGCAGGCCGGGTGTTATAATTTCTGGTGGGATGCAGGTTGGGACTGCTACATCAGTGTTGAATCCGACTTCAGAGTATCTAAACAGCCAAGGAACTTGGGTTACATATATTCTGGTGATTTTAGTCGTGCACTTCATTTTGCTATGTGTACCTTTTCTAACCACCGCTGTTGTTTGGACTTTAACTTGTTCGATTCACAACGTGGTAGGTCGTTTTTAATTGTTCATAACTCATAGTTTAATAATAATGGTATTTAGGTGAAATTGTTGAAAAAACCGTTTACTATATTAGAGTATAAATATTTTAACGTCAGTTGGGTCAGATAACATCGATTTTGCCAGCCAACATTTGAGCTAGGCGATTCGCAAACCATGGTGCTAAATTACGTTACATATTAACGCTCGTTCCCTAGTTTCCCCTAAGTTTGGCTCTAGTTTGCTTTGGTTCATATTATTTTTGACGACTTAGTCATATACTCTTAGACCTTTGTTATTTCAGTGAATTCAAGGGCTGCAATATTTAAACAACGAAGACGATGATAATATTATGCTCACTATGTCACCAGATTGCCGTGAAAGTAGGGACGATGGTTACTTTAGAATAAAAATAAATTATACTACATAACTGCTAATTATGCTATCATTTCCTGGCAGCATTTACTTCTGGTGCGCTTTTGGGAGTTATGGGAAGATCCCCCCTCCCGCCAAAAAATAAATTATCACGCACACAAGGATGCACAATATCTTCCTTCAAAAATGTCGAATGTTCCCAAGTTGCTATAATTCTCGACATTGTGCCCGAAGTTTATGAGGAGTCACTACTTCAATTTACAAGGCCGTATTTCTGAATATTCTCCGGCGTAACACTCCATTTTTATGGAAGGATGCATCTGCATACTTTATATCAACAGAAAGTAGTGAAAGATTCAGGCGACTTCTCTGAAGTTCGTATTTGCACCCGTATTATGTTCATGGTAATGTCCAAACTTCTCATAATGCTCCAAAACTTGATGCTGGCTGAGTTGCTTATACGAATCTTAAAATGAATCCATTATGTAAACCTGGGGACGTTGACTTAACAACCCTGTCATTTTCGGGCCAGTAACCGGTTGAAAATCTGCAGACGGATTATGTTGGTCATCTGTACTTAGTGACAATTATTCGCATTTATGACGCGGTACTCTCTTCGTAAATCCATACTAAAATGTGCAATTCGAGGCGTAATCTAGCTTGAAACAGTAGTAAACGATGATAAATACTTGAACTTATCAGAATATCTTGATACCCGTATAATCTAATAACGTTGATTATGCCCTACTTACTGGTAATATATCAGTGGGTGCTAACAATTCCCCACTAATTATTTTGGTGATCCGGACTCTTTTACTGTCTCATTTTGCCTCCGAACTTTGTTATGGTTCCAGATTTTATGATGGCTACGTATATGTGACAAAACAGCAAGGGTTCAGTATAATTCGGAATTACAAGAACAGGAAGGAAAATGCTTAATGTAAATAATCAGGTAAATAAAATCAATGGACTATGAGCCAATTTCTGAATAAAATAGTACTAGTAGCAGTACAGTCTTAAAGTAAGCAAAAGAAGATACAGCATTCCCCACTCAGTTGTTTTACCCCTTTACATGCGCACACTGCGATTCTATTGGTGTTTGAACACCAAGCTCTGCTTCACATAATATACTACATATGTAGTAAACATCTTCATTAGGTAGATTAATGTTAACTTACCATGGAGCACGATACACTGAAACTGAGGATGCTGGGGCAGCGGGCCAGCGAGACGGCTTTCCGAAGTCCTCCGCCCTGCCTTTCAGGCATCTTTGAAGATTATTTGTCGATGTACCATCTACCTCACAGACCGTCTCACTGACACTAGGCTTTTTGCTGCGAAGAGCTCGGATGACCTCGAACAGCTAACTATTGGCAGATGCAGCTGCTACTTCCATTTCACTCGTGCTTTCTGACCACCTGACGTCACAGTTGTGTAAGCGTTGTGTAAAACCTACGTAAACCATTGTACTCAAAAAGTTGCGGGGAGCTCACAAAGACCAAGTGTTTTTAAACAGGACGTTCTTCCAAGCTGCAAGTAGCTTTACTTCCCATTTTCATGGTGTCTTGCAAGTGCAACCAATGCTCATTTATCCTCTCTGGAGGATCGGTAGCCAGCATTATATCTAGCCTGGATTGGTATTCAGCTGCAAAGGTTATATGCAGCTAATTTGGTTGGATCGACCTGTTTAGGATGACGATTTCAATGACCAGCAAAACTCAAAGCGACCGTAGCAGACAATAAAGCATTATCAGAGTTCGTACAAATACTCTATATGGGGCGGCAGTCGTGTACGCACCCAGGCCTTCGACAGCTGATTAGAATATGATCCATTTGAGTCCAGGCTTGAGTGGCAGAGGGAGGACGCCAGGTAACACAACGGCGATGGCTTTTCCGGAAGTTGGTGCTAGCTAAAAATAGGTTGTAATCTACACAAAGCTGCAGAAAATGATCCGCACTACCTGACTTGCGACCAACTAGTCCCCATTGCCAACTTAACGACTCTTCTCTGAGCCCGACCTGGGTATTCAAGTCCCAGCTAGCACTACGATATCTGTCAAGGGCATTTGGTTGAGATCACTCAGTTGATGATAGAATTCATCCTTGATTGTATTCGGACTGCAATCCATTGGAACACAGGTAGAGATGACAAAGAGGCATCATTTCCCTTGTCGGATACTTGTTACTCGAGATGAACCTTCTAGCCTAATAGCACAGGTAGGATCCAAGTATAGTTATTCACGTGTCCATACCTAGGAAATATGGGAAATTTGCGAGTAAGACGAGATGCGATGACTGGTCTCTATGGTCTCAATAGTGGATACTGGTTTGTAACTGTCTATGTGCTATCCAGTTGGGTGGATTTGTCAGAACTAAGAAGTACCATGCTATTCATCGGTACTTATTTCCACTTACCCACCCCAAATGCTCTGGTATGCTTTCATAGCCTCTGCAAGAGAAGTCCTATTCACGGCCTTCACGTGGCGGAAGTATTTTCCACAAAGCTGACGCTTATCACAGGATTGGTTAATACTAAGAGCCCACTTAGGTGAGTTGGAAAACCCTAATTCCAAACCAGTGATGCTCATAAGCCCCAGGTTCCCGACTGAATGAATGGCGTATTAACCTATTTTAGTCACCGGCAACCATGAGAATGCAGCTCCTCTGATTGTTGCTCCACTGCCTTGCAGATTAAACTTTAAGTCAAAGGTTCGTTGAGTGGTCCCCTAAGACAACTATCTGCTTCGATCTAGGTGCCTGAGTAGTATCTCAGCCAGCACAAAATATAAAATTACAATATAGAAAGAAGATTTCGAAGCGCTCACTCAAGTTTTGTGGAAATATGATAGCCTTCTGCACTGCGAACACTAACTAATTTTTTAACTTATTGCTACTATATCGTTTTTGCTACTTTTACATATGAATTATGTTTTTTATTATTACCATTTTCGCTTTTGTCTTAATCTTCACTTCACTCACCTGCTTTCCATCGCTTAAACGTTTGGTCTTCATGTATCGTGTCTGAGAAATTTATTAACATCCTGAAAGCCACATATAATGACACTTCAGGTAGAGTGAAGGCATACAACCACCTGTCTCCATTGTGTCAAATCAGCGGTAGGGTTAGACAAGATTGCCAGATCTCTCCATTCCTCTTTAACTCAGCTATCGATGAAACTTGTTAAAGCTCTGAAGGAGGTGCGTGATTGCAGTCACCCTAAATATCCAAGCTATAGAAGATGTCAAGAAGTGAATGCATCTGTGCCACTGTGGCCGATTTTCAGGCATGTCAACTATTGATTTCTAGGGTCTCACGGATGCCAACCAGGGAGTTTACATCTCCCGACACGACTCATACCAATAGTCAGGGACTTCATTGACTGGTACCAAATCTTGGTCTGCCCAAGACCGGTCTGAAAGAACTCTGAGATATATTTACGCATCAGGATTCTTGGTAACATGGCTAAGTATCGACTACTCACTATGGCGCAAATGTATTCACTCTTTGACGTCTTCTAAAACTTGGATATTTGCGGTAATCGTTATCATCAGATTGTTTATTCTCTTACACAACTGTATCCACTTTGATATCACTTCTGTCTAACTGTTCTTTGTTTACTTCTGTGAAGTGTAACAAGTTGAACTGGTGCGTTTGTTGTTAATTTTGTCAGTCAGTTTTTGGGAAACACTAATTCTATAATTAAGCTTGGTATACTTTTTACTCAAGGATGAAACTAAATAAGGAACAGTAAGAACAATAGAGTCATGTGATTCATAATGATTTCCAATCCCATTCCACCTACAGAGGTGGGGGCGGCTAGGTATCTCATCAGTAGGCCTCACACAATTGATGTGACTCATTGTCTATTGCACGAATCTATACAAGGTTGCCGAGTGAATTTTCATATTTTTCTCGAGCAGTCTGCTTATTTCAAATTTCTACAGCACTATTCTGTCGAGCTGCGAACATTCGATCCATACAACTAATACTGGGCTTCCAATTGTTTTATCAGTCAGTCAGTCAGTCAATATCAACATAGGACCAGGCACTACTGCGTAACGGTCCGAGTTGCCACACCTTATATCAGTACATCAAGTAGAAAGGTAGTGAGGTGAAAGATGAACATAAGAAAATTCAGTCAAAAGAAATATAAAGTACTAAAAGAGAGAAAGGAAGAATGAATAAATGGTGATATCCAGTACAGCGTTTAGATGACGATAATGTATGTATACATCTGCGCCACTGACATCGGTTCTCACCCATATCACCTAGAGTTTCCAACCACTGGTTCCTCTTGTCCCACCGACACCAACCACCTAGTCTGCATCGTCACCCCACATGGCTCAAACCAACAGTCAACGACTTCATACAATGGTGTCATGTTTTAGTCTGGCCACCTCGGGCCTTTTACCAGCCTCGACCTACTTCGGCCAACATTATGTGACGAGGCAATCGGTGACTAGGCATACGTAGTACGTGTTCCAACCATCTCAGTCGATGAAGGTTCACAACCTCGTCAACTGACTTACCTCTTCTCCCCAAAACTCTACACCTAACGTCTGCATTACTCACGTGGTGTGGTGACAACACGGAATGCGGCCTATACTATGAAGGCAACGGTGGTCAAACACCTGAAGCCTTCTTATACCTTCCACTTCAAATGGCCATGTTTCACAGGCATAGAGTAGAACAGAGCGGACTGCTGTGCAGTACACGCGACCCTTAGTAGACAAACGGATATCACGGCGGCACCACAGGTAGCGTAAATCGGCAAAAGCCAATCGAGCCTTTTGTATCCGTACTGAGATTTCATCGGCAACTAACCCACAAGGGCTGATCCTACTTCCCAGGTAAGTGAAGTGGTCAACACACTCAACCACTTGACTCTCTACTGTTAGCCGTAGCATCGCTGAAGACTATTCACGGAGCAAAAATTTGCATTTGGGTGGTGAAAACCGCATCCAAAAGATTCTCAAATTGTCACTCAGAGTGTTCAGAAGACTCTGCATGTTGTCAGCGTCTTCACTTAACAGGACTATGTCATCTGCACATTCTAGGTCCAACGAAATTCTCCTGTGATTAGGTCAACGTCTATGTAATTAGGTGACGAGAGGGAGACCTCCATAAGAATATCTATCATGAAATTGAATAAGAATGGAGACAGTGGGCATCCTTGAGGCAGACCACTCGATAAGCATAGCTCCCTGGACAACTCATCATAGGCTCTAACATGCTCACAAGTTTCCGAGTAAAGAGCTTTCAATAAGATGATTTACTTACTCGGCACGCCTTTGAGTGAGAGACATTGTCATAAGACTTCTCGATCAACTGAGTCAAATGTCGTCTTCAAGTTGAGAAATATAGCTATTGTTGGGCGTCTGTAAGCGTGCCTAGGTTTCAGGACCTAACGTAGTGTGAATATTTGGTCGATACAACCGCGGCCGGGTCTAAAGCCTGCTTTGTTTTTATCGGGATTACTGTTGCACAGCTCCACTCAGGCATCGGAGAATTATAGAATCTAAGATGTTTGATACTATGTTTATCAGGTTGATTCCTCTGTGGTTATCACAAGAGGACTTCTGGCCTTTCTTGAAGACTAGGATAATTAGTGACTTAGACCAGTCAGAGGGGATCGTATTTGATTCCTACTTCCGTTAACCTGACTAAGAGCACTGTATCAACATTCTTGTATGCCTCAGCAGGTAGTTTTGTAGTTGATGTTATTCACTTATAGAGAATACCCTTAAAATCTTCCTTTCTCACAAAAAAAGTTGAGTTAAATTTACAATGCATAAGTAAGGATTATAAGTCTTATCCAGCAGGAATGAATGGTAAACTTTTCAAAAACTGACAGTTGATCATACAACATTAATAAGCTAACTTAAACTTGCTTTCTATTCACAGGTTATGTATCGTTTATTACATTGGGAGAAAGGAAGTCCGTATGAAACATTAGACCAAGGTGAATCTCGTGTTCTTACTCAATGGGAACAGTTTGATGATGGTGAACAGTTTTCACCGAGTAAAAAATTCTTGTTAGTTGTGCCAATTGTTCTGTAAGTTACAACTATGTTGTTTTTTGTTGTTTTTTTCTCAAAAATATCTTGCTCAGCCTAAGCTATTTACTATATTTTTTGCAATGATTAAGGGTTTCTACTGTTTTTGTATATATTGGATATTGATTAACCTGGAGATAATTAAAAAAAATAATTGTGTAATTAAAAGAAAAAGGATTTCAACCTTTGAGATAGATTATACACAGTGATATTTTATTCTCTGATAGACGATTTATATCCATAGGCTTTACTAATAATGTTATAATTTAGTTGCTTAAACTTTCTTGTGCAAAATTAGTTTAACTGGTGGAAGATAACTCATCTTTTGGTTAAATCTCTTTTTCCACAAGTTTCTGGAACATGACACTATTTGTATTTCTCAGTCTGAAAGCAGCATTGTGTCTTTTATTAAAATGAATTCCGAGTAAATGCTTCATTCTATTGATGATGGCTGTTTCCTCATCAAGTGGTGTCCGTCAAGGATGCTCACTATCCCCATTCTTATTTAATTTTATGATAGATATTCTTATGGAGGTTTCCCTCTCCCCACCTTATTACATAGACGTTGACCCGATCACACGTGAATTTTCTTTAGATCTAGAATATGCAGATGACATAGTCACTCCTGTTAGGTGAAGACGCTGACAAGATGCAGAGTCTTCTGAACACTTTGAGTGGGAATTTGAGAATGTTTGGGATGCGATTTTCACCACCCAAATGCAAATTTTTGCTCCAGGACTGACTGGTCTTCAGCGGTGCCCCACCGCGGTTAACAATAGAGAGTGAAGTGGTTGAGTATGTTGACCACTTCACTTACCTGGGAAGTAGGATCAGCCCTTGTGGGTTAGTTACCGATGAGATTTCGGCACGGATACAAAAGGCTCGATTGGCTTTTGCCAATTTGCGCCACCTATGGCGCCGCCGTGATATTCGTTTGTCTATTAAGGGTCGCGTGTACTGCATAGCGGTCCGCTCTGTTCTACTCTATGCCTGTGAAACATGGCCATTGAAAGTGGAGGATACAAAAAAGCTTGAGGTGTTTGACTACCGTTGACTTCGTAGTATAGGACGTATTCCGTGGTGTCACCACATCAAGTGAGTAATGCAGAAGTTAGGTGTAGAGTTTTGGGGAGAAGAGGTAAGTCAGTTGACGAGGTTGTGAACCTTCATCAACTGAGATGGTTGGGACACGTACTACGTATGCCTAGTCACCGATTGCCTCGTCACACAATGTTGGCTGAGGTGAGTCCAGGCTGGAAAAAGAGTGGAGGTGGCCAGACTAAAACATGGCACCAATGTATGAAGTCTCTGACTGTTGGTTTAAGCCATGTGGGGTGACGATGCAGACTAGGTGGTTGGGGTCGATGGGACAAGAGGAACCAACAGTGGTTGGAGACCCTAGGTGATATGGGTGAGAACCGATGTGAGTGGCGCAGATGTATACACACATTATCCTCATCTAAACAACGCTATACCGAATCTCACCATTTTGTCACTCCTCTTTCGTTTCTCCTCGTACTTTATATTTCTTTTGACTGCATTCACTTATGTTCATCCTTCACCTCACTACCTTTCTACTTGATGTACTGATATGAGGTGTGGCAAGTTGGACCGTTACACAGTAATGCCTGGTCCTATGTTGATAATGATGATGATGTTTCCTCGAATACTCGTGACCGTGTTAGAGCCTATGATGAGATTTATGCATCGATTGGTGTCTTTCAATGATATCCACTATGTTCTTATTTGACTTTAGTATAAACCTATTGATGGGTGTCTCCTTTGTGTCATTGGACTTTATAGGGATTAATCTAATCATAGACGAATCCTTGATAGATCTAGGGTGACTTAGACGATATACCTGTGTTAGGAGAAAATGCTGACAACTTGCAGTGTGTTCTGGACACCATAAGTGGCAATTTAAGAATGTTAGGTATGCGTTTCTCGCCACTCAAGTGGAGATTATTGCTCCAGTAATGATGTTTTGCTGGTACCTTGTTTAATAGTAGGAAGTGAATCGGTTGGGCGTGCTGACCACTCACCTACTTAGGAAGTTGAATCACCCTTGGTGGGTCAATGGCTTACACAATCTCTACACTGATACAAAATGCTCGACTAGCTTTCGCCAATCTACGCCATTTATGCTGCCACTATAATATCCGATTGCCTATTGAGAGTTGAGTGTACTATACTACAGTTCACCTTATCCAACTATATAACTGTAAAACGTAAAGGATAAGAAAAGGCTCGAGGTATTTGACCACTGTTGCCATCATAGCATAGGCTAGTTGTCGTGGTATCTGTTGTGACCGAGTGGTGGGGTTGCGCGCGTGGGTATAATGATACTGAGACTCAATAGACACCTCAACTGAATACCTTTACAACTGACCTCCCGCAGTACCTTCTGCTTCACTGAGCCGGGTAAATCAGAAGACAAAGACGGCCTGTGACTGCAAGAACAGCGACAACAACAACTCTTATTATACAAATACATGACATATATGAAGTTATAAAACTCAGAAAGTGAAGCCACAAATGGACCAATCAGATTTCTTGTATGAGGTCGAATCCCTCCAATCAGGTTCTCATGTCATCGCATGCATAAATCATGATCTGATCATGATTTGAAAACAACTCCCCTATTGCGCTGCCTTCTTGTCGCTACGTAACAGTATCACCACAAGAGTAATCAAGAAGGACAAGAGGAAAGTTAGTTGATAAGGTTGTAAACCTTCATCGACTGTGGGGGTTGGGATATGGGTTACACATGCCTAATTACCACCGCCGGTGTCGTCACACAATGCTAGCTGAAGTAGGTTCAAACTGGGAAAAGGTTGTAGGTGGACAAACTTGAACATAACATCAATCCACGAAGGCTTTGATTGTTGATGTGAGTCGTATAGAATTGTTTATCACATTGGTGTTAATATGACACATTAGTTTAAAAACCTGATTGTCTACTAATGGGTTCCAGATTAAAGCCATGTGAGTCTTGACAACCTAGTAGCAGTATCATAAACCCCTTAGGCTATAAATGTGGTTCATAGTTTAGTTACACAAGTAGCTTGGTGCAAAATTTGTGAAGGCTACAGATAATTAACACCCATCAATCATATCATCATCTACATGTGGCGGAATCATCATATGCACAATACAAAAGTGTTAGACAAACATACACTACTGCTCATGAAGTAGTACACAAATTTGTACTGCTTTAAGTTACATTGCTCTGCAGGCGCATGCTACTAGATAGAAGTGGTAGTTCATTTGTTGAGGCTGTGCATATTCTTCCCCTGAGATGTTTCGAATATCTATGTTGAACTGTCATCTTCAATGTTATATTGTTACTTGAGGTAGGGTTAAACTACGAGAAAACCCACACTGATCAGACTAAAATAATAAAATAACAGATGTACTGGACGGGTTCTATGGCTGTAGCCGATTATCCTTAAAATCGATAGTAATGCCACCGATCCATTCACACCTTTTTTTTATATTTACATTTTGAAAATATTATTGTTCTATTCTAATGAGATCAAAATACTACTCGATAATAATAAAACTAACACATAATGCCGCTTGTAAATCAATAAATAATCAACTGAAGATCATTCAATAGTGTAAATGAATAATCTAAAGTTAGCTAGCTACTCAGTGGGTAACTTTTATAACCTAAAATAAGTTTGAAAGAAAGAATCTTTAAAAAAATCAGAACATTTACGTGTGAAAACCTAGTTTCTAGCCTTCTCCAAGAATTGAAGTATTGATAAATTCAAGATTGATAGTGACCAATGAAATAGATAAGACGAGAACCAAGAATAAGAACATGCATAAATTATATTCCATGGTGTCACCATGTGAGTAATGCAAAAGTTAGGTGGAGAGTTTTGGGGAGAAGAGGTAAGTCAGTCGACAAGGTTGTGAACCTTCATCGACTGAGATGGTTGGGACACGTACTACGTGTGCCTAGTCACCGATTGCCTCGTCACACAATGTTGGCTGAGGTGGGTCGAGGCTGGAAAAAGGGTGGAGGTGGCCAGACTAAAACATGACACCAATGCATGAAGTCTCTGACTGTTGGTTTAAGCCATGTGGGGTGACGATGTAGACTAGGTGGTTGGTGTCGGTGGGACAAGAGGAACCAACAGTGGTTGGAGACCCTAGGTGATATGGGTGAGAACCGATGTGAGTGGCGCAGATGTATACACACATTATTCCCATCTTAACAACGCTATACCGAATCTCACCATTTTGTCACTCCTCTTTCCTTTCTTCTCGTACTTTATATTTCCTTTGACTGCATTCACTTATGTTCATCCTTCACCTCACTACCTTTTTACTTGATGTGCTGATATGAGGTGTGGCAAGTTGGACCGTTACACAGTAATGCCTGGTCCTATGTTGATAATGATGATGATGATGACAATATTTTTCCAGGGTCATATTAGGGGTCATCCTAGCAATTTGTCGTCTGTATACTCTGCCTTAAGTTGTTTTTTTTTCTGAACCTATACGTTGTAGTTACTGTTGTAGACTAGTTTGCATTGTTGTTTTCAAATCTCTATCCTTTCTACTAGTAATTCTACATTGATTTACTGATGTCTAGTTTTGTTAGATGGACAGAGAGAGGATAATTATGCCAGATAGTGTTTTGCTTGAAAAAAACTGTTTGTGGTGTGTCCAGTACTTCACGCTATTGATTGCATCACCGTGATATCCGATTGTCTAATAAGGGTCGAGTGTACTGCGCTGCATTTCATTCTGTCCTACCGGATTAGTGTGAAAGGTAGAAGGTAGAAGAAATAAGGGAGCTCTAGGTATTTGACCGCCGTTGCCTTTATAGCACACACCGTGCCACCACATGAGGAAATAAGGAGTTAGGTATAAGATAGAGGGAAGTCAGTTGATGAGACCGTGAACTTTCGTCAACTGAGGTGTCTAGGATATGTGTCACTCATGCTTCATCCCACAGTGTTAGTTGAAGTGGGTTCAGGCTGTAA